TTTTCAAATTTTTAAAGAAATTCTGGCAGTGAGTTCTACTGTTTAGTTCAATAAATATCGAACTGCTCTCTTCTGAAGTATAAAAAACACGATCAAATTTTGTTGCGCAGCAAGTACCCCAGAATGGAAGAGCATAACGAAGATGTGACTCAAAAAGGGCATAATAGGCTATTCTAGAGGTTGAGAAGTTAAGTTCCTTAGAAACTGATCTTAGCGCAAAACAGGCAGCGCTTAGTTTCTTTGATAGAGCTTCAATGTGAAAGTCCCATTTTAACGAGTTGTCTACAAGAAGTCCTAAGAATTTCATAGAGTCCACGACGTCAATAGTAGTGTTATTAAGTACAAAAGGTTGTATAGTACTTTTATATGACAAAACTTTAGTTTTTGATAGGTTGAGGCATAGGAGATTAGAATCGCACCAAGACTTAATGGTGCGTAAGTCACTGGATATAGTATCATATAGCGCCGCAACATCTGGGCCACTCCAAGTGAAACTAGTATCGTCCGCAAAGAGGCAGATTTTACCGCTAATGTCTAGATTTGCAATGTCATTGATAAACACCAGAAACAAAATAGGGCCAAGTACTGAATCCTGAGGGACACCACATTCTATAGGCTTACAAGAAGACATAGACGTATCAATCCTCACAAGCTGCCTTCTGTTGCCAAGATATGACTTAAGCCATTCGAGCGGCACTCCCCTGAAACCATAGTATTGCAATTTGTTAATTAAGATATTATGATTACACAATCGAAAGCCTTAGAGAAATCACAGAAAATTGTAGCTGTAGAGTGATGGTTATTCAGGCTAGAGTATACATTATTAAAAAGGTCGAACATAGCATCATTTGTGCAACTGTTACTTAGAAATCCAAATTGATGGGTAGTAAGTATTTTATATTTAAGGAGAAAAGATAGAAACCTTTTTTTAACCAATCTTTCAATGATCTTAGATAATGTGGGCAGGAGTGCAATTGGGCGATAGTTCGAAGCTTCATCTTTATCACCTCCTTTATACAGAGGAATAATTATTGCTGTCTTAAGACAGTTTGGAAAAACTCCTTTTTGGAATGACTCGTTAATTAAAGTAGTAAGATGGTTTAATGTGCATTCAGGAAGTTCAGAGAACATTTTGAGAGTAAGCCCATCAGTCCCAGATGAGGATTTGTTTTTAATACTATTAATTGTACTACGGAGCTCATCTAATACTACGGGCGTGAGGAAGAAACTGTGTAAATTCTCATTTGCTTTAGGGAGATATGAAAGTGAATCATGGGAAGGAGTTATGGTGTTCACTAAATTTTTAGCCACATTAACAAAGTAAGTGTTTAAATCTTCAGGTGAATTAAAGACTGTGCCAGACGAAGAAGTCTTATTCCTTAAGTCATTTACAATAGCCCAAGTCTCCTTAGCTATTTCCGTATTGTAACGGAATTTTAAATTATGTCTTTATTTCCGAGAAAATTTAGTCCAAAAAACATCAGGAATATTTTGTTGATGTTTGACCATGAAAATCTTAAAAATAAAGTTCTCTAAAAATGTGCTACAATGCGGATATAGTATAATCCTTTATCTTTAATTTCCTTCCTCATTTGTGTAAAAATACCTAGCCAGAACTCTTAAATTAATTTTTTAAACTAAACTTTAAACATTAATCGTCGATCAGGATAAAATATGAAAAAGCTTTAGTCGTTTCCGAGAATAAAAAATAAATTCAGTGAATAAATTATCCGTTTTTGCTGTTTGTGTCGCCCCTAAATGAATATCAATATTTCACGCTCTAAAATTAACAAACCTAAGCCGCATTTAACCCAAACGTATTTTTAAAAATCTCAAAATAAAATGGTGGGATCTATTTCGAAAATGATAATTTTTAGTATGAAGCCTGATATTTTTGGATAGGTAATTGATGATTTGGCTTCGGTATGTTCTTAGGTGTTAGTGTAGAGTGTCTAATTCTGTGTGATGTATGGATTTGTGGTGATCTACACAGTTTTTTAAATGACTTGGCAAGTGTTTTAATATTGCTTTTCGTTTATTTACTGATATACGTGTACAGGGTGGGTCAAATTCGACGCTTTTAAATGGAAACACCCTTTTCTATAGGAGATAGACAAAAACTAATATTGGTGTCTGGAGCTCAATTTTTGTCAAAAACATGATGGTGAAAACCGCATATCGATATCTGTTACCGTTTACGAGTTACGGAGTGTTTTTCAAAAATATGCATTTTTAACAAATCGCTGTAACTTTTTTGCTATGGAAAATTTTGTATTTTTTTGGAAACATTTCCAAAGCACCTTTCTACGTAGAATTTACGGTTTAAGTATTTTTTTTTTAAATTAATAATTTAAGAATTATCAACAGAAAATTTGATTTTTATATGGGACACCCTGTATATTTTTAATTTATTGAAAAGAATTTAAAATTACCTTTCCAAAAATATAACACACTTGATATTTTGCTCGATTCCTCTTCGAGATATAGAGTATATAAAAATTCGCCCGCTTTAAATAAGTGGGCTTTGAACGGCACCGGCTGTAATGTAAAAAAATTCTAGCTGTGAGCATCAATTAAAACGAAAATAATGTTTGCTATGAGAGATTCAGAACTTTATAACAATTTAAACTATATTTAACCAACATCAACACATTTAAACTATATCTAATAACAATAAAAATAAATAGCAAACCAAGACATGAGATTTTGCTACAGGTGTTCGACATATCGACCGTCTTCTGTTATGGACAGACGGGGCAGTTTTTGAACATTTCTCGCGGAATTCATTAACTCAGTGGGAGTGAAGATGCCCTCTCATAACTGTTAAGTATTTCTAATTCTTGTCTGGATTATACGGAAGAATAATGAACCTTTATTCTTCCGCAAATATATCCATAAGATTAGATCTATGGATACTAAGTCAGGCGGTCTCGACGGCCAACGGCTGGGATCTTGGTTAGCTATTCAATTATTCTTGAAATTGGCTGCAAAAATTTGCTAATAACTTCAGCGTTCAGAGGTGGTGCGTCGTCTTGCTGGAAAAATATGTTTTCGAGTTCCATTAAGGGCATATTATCTGTATTTCGAAGGGGATTATAACAAAATATCAAGTGTGCTATATTTTTGGAAAGGTAATGTTAAATTCTTTTCAGTTAATTAAAAATATAGAGGGTGTCCCAAATAGAAAATCAATTTTTCTGTTGTTAACTCTTAAATTATTAATTTTAAAAAAATTATACTTAAACCATTAAATTCTACGTAAAAAGGTGCTTTGAAAATGTTTTCATGGAAATACAAAATTTTCCATAGTAAAAAAGTAACTCCGAAACGGTAACAGATATTGATGTGCGGTTTTCATCATCATGTTTTTGATGAAAGTGAGCTCCAGACACCGATATTAGGTTTCGTCTATCTCCTATAGAAAAGGGTGTTTCCATTTAAAAGCGTCGAATTTGACCCACCCTGTACAGTATGTCCCCGGAAAAATGCATTCTTCATAAAATTTTTGCATATTCTAAAATGGTTAATCCCGTCTATACTTTTCCAAATTTCCATGCCGTTTTAGAGAAAATTAAAAAAACATGAAAATATAGTTGAATTTTTTTAGTCCTAAAAATTAAAACGGGTTTTAGAATGTTAAAGAAGCACAAAATTTATTTAATTTAATACTAAGGAAAGGATGATAATATTACAGTTGGTGGTTAGAACCTTTGGTGTTACACAGCAAAATAGAACACTAAATCACCACAATACATCAAAACACTTTTACTTTTACACTGGACGCGCGTTTCGCTAACCATGTTAGCATCATCAGCAGATGATTAAAACTAAACTAATACCTACAAATTGAGCGTTTATATACTAGCTCAGTTGGTTCTGAGTGGGCGTGGCAAAAACTAGCCAAGCGAGTTAAAACTAGAGCAGTAGGGAACTGGAAGAAATTGAGCCATTGTCTCTGTTCATACTATCTTTACATTTATTAATTTTAACGCCCTCAATATGCACCTAATTGCCTGTAATTTCAGACTTGTTTAACTAATTTATTAAAAAAAATAGTTAAACGTCCCAAATTACAGGCAATATGAGAGTGTCAAAATTAAAAAATGTGTTTTGGTGTATTGTGTTGATTTAGTGTTTTATTTTGTAAGTGTGTAAAATGTGTGCGTAAAGACAATCCGGAGACATAATGTAAAATATAACAAATATAATTGCGAAATCTAACAACCAGCAATAATCAATAATACGAAAATCAATAAAACATATTCAAAGCAATATTAATTTTAAAAATATTTTTAACATGCATGACTATTATAAATAAATTAAACAAGCTCATATATCATTTATCATTTTTAAAACAAAACGTCATCGGTTTTTCGATAAAATAGTATAAAGCATCCGAAATGATTGATTTGTTTTGAATTCCACCACAGTCTGTCGTGGTTTCCTTTCATAATACGTTTGTTGGGTTTGTTCTGTTACCTCAGGCTAAATATATAAATAAATATAAATAGGGTTTCAGCTTTGTTTTAGAAACACCGCTTATAAGTGATAGATAGATTAGGATTCAGGAAGAAAAAGGGAAATGTCAGTAATAGATTTACTGACATTTCCCTTTTTCTTATTCAGATTATTCAGAACAAGTGAAGAGCATGTGCAAGACTAAGACCATATCTTGGTCTTGGTCTGGAGGAGTCTTGGGATTTGATGTAAGTCTTGCACTGGTCGATTTTGGTCTTGGTCTTGCAAATATAGCGCTAGTCTTGATCTTGGTCCTGATTTTGAGCAAGCAACTTTGTGCAAGACCAACATCAAGACCAGACTCATTCGTCAATATTCAAAACTCTTCATGACTTCATCAACATGACAATTTTATAGTCTTTAATGGAAGATGTGAGTTTTGCGAAACTATATTTTGAAAAATTGATAAAAAGTATAATAGTTCATAATACAACAAAAGAGACATATATTAGTATTTTTATTTGGTTCTTCTTTGTTTATAGTAATACAGACCAAATGAAAATCGTTCCCGTTACGCCTCCTATTCAACATGGCGAGGGACCACACTGGGACAGCAAGAACGGCATTTTGTATTACGTAGACACGTTTCAAGCGACCGCCTACAGATGGGATTCGAAGACAAAAAATGTGACCAGTCAAAAGTTTGGTAAGTAAAACCACAGTAGAAGGAAAAGAGTAGTTGCACGTTGCACGTTGTAGTAGCCGTTGAAGATCTCTAGACGTACATTCCCATCACGTTTTATTTAGTGTCATATACTTTAATTTTAATTAAAGAAAAAATTTTTAAAAAAGCGGACTGCTTCGGGTATTTCGTAGCATTTTCTCTTTATATTACGATATATATCGGTGTTCCAAAAGCATTCTCCTGCTTGGAACATAATTCTTTATTTTCGTTTCGTCGCTTTCCAAGGCGAAGACTCTCGTACGCCGCTGCCAATCTATTTCTCGACTTATAGAGCAAACGCTAGTTTCGAGATAAAGGTTCTCTTCTCGGTCTTTCTAGTTTATTTCGCTTGGGACAATATTACTTTGGAAAGTTGTTCTTTCCTACTATTCATAATAAAACTAAATAATAGTTTATTTTTATTATATTATTAGATTTTTTCCCGCGACCTTGTCCGCATAAAATCCTAATTTTTTTAATATAATAGTTATTTTTTATACAAGACGATAAAATTGTATTTTATGCGAGTTACGTTTAAAAAAATATTCAGAAATTATTGTTTCAAGGAATTTATTACGAGTAGAAAAAATATTGTGCTGGGTTGGCGTTGGTTTCTATGTAATTTGACAAATAAATAAAGCTGTCTCTTTAGTTGTCAGTTTTGAGTCAATATTTTTTAATTCTCTTTCGTGTCGATTGCTGATTGAATTGGAGCCAAGAAATGGCTCAAAACGAAATAAGTAAATTACCAAAAATATTCAGGCTGAGGCGACAAACGCCATATCCAAACTACTTCCATTTAAATCTCGAATAACTTATGAAAAGGAATACAAAAATTTTCAAAAATGGAAGCAATTAAAAAACGTGCGAGAAGAAATAAAGTTTTTAATAAGTTTAATCTACCCGTGCGGTTAAGGTACTATTTTATCTACTATTTTTGATAGATATAAGGCAATTTTAACAGTTGCTATGGAAAAAGGAGCTTATAACGCAAAAACTATCAATCTAGATTAATAGATAAATCACGGCATATACAAGATAAACCCTTTATTACATCACAGTACATGCTTTAAAAATTCTACGTGATAAAATTTAACTTAGTATTTTTATAGATATATCGCCTCTAAAGAAAATATAACTAGTCTTTTTTCATTAAATATAGTTTCGAAAATACAATACCCTTTTCATCTGTCTTTTCTTAGAACAGAAAGTTCTTTAACAGGCTAAATTTGCTTGACATTTCAAGACGCTTGTCTCCGTCATTGTGGGAAATTAAAAGAAAACAACCTTGAATGTAAATTTAGTTATTTCTAGGACCTTCAAGAGATATCGTTTGTAATCGCTGGCTTATATACGAGGCATGTTTTTTAAGTAAGTACCGTTTTGGAATTAAAAAAAAACGTGCAAAGATATCGCAATAATTTTATTTTTACATGAAAGCCTGTACCTTAATCTACTTTTCTACATAATTTCCGTGAATATTGAGGCACTTGCCATAACGTGGCACCAGTTTTTCAATACCCTCCTCATAAAATTCTGCCGCCTGACTGCCGCCTGACCACTGTATCACAACTGTTTTGACTTCGTTATCGTCTTGAAGACGCTGACCGCCCAGGTGTTTCTTCAAGTGCAGGAATAAATCGTAGTCACTGGGCGCCAGATCAGGGCTGTATGGAGGATGATCTAGAGTTTCCCATTTAAAAGATTTGATGAGATCTTTGGTCCGATTAGCCACATGTGGACGGGCATTATCATGCAGCAAAACAATACCCTTACTCAACTTGCCACGTCTTTTGTTTTGGATTGCACGGCGCAGATTGTTCAATGTCTCACAATAAGATGCTGCCTTGACTGTCTCATTACGAGGCAGAAACTCCACTAGCAATACTCCTTTTCTGTCCCAAAAAACTGCACATGATTCTCCGGGCAGAAATTGTTTGCTTAAACTTCACTGTTTTGGGTGATGATGAATGTCGCCATTCCATGGACTGTTGTTTCGATTCTGGTGTTTCGTAGGCCACCCATGTTTCGTCACCAGTAACAATTTTGTCTAAAAAATCTTCACCTTCATTGTGGTACTGCTCAAGGAAAGTCAATGCACTGCCTAAACGTTGGGTTTTGTGCAAATCCATCAACATTTTCGGAACCCAACGTGAACACAATTTCCGGTAATTCAAGTTCTCGGTCACAATGCGATACAAAACACTACGAGAACATTGAGGAAAGTAGTCGCACAATGATGAAATTGTAAAGCGTCTGTTTTCTTTCACCTCTTTGTCCACTTTCTGCACCGAATCTTCATTAACGACCGAAGGACGCCCACTCCGTTCTTCATCATGCACATTTGTGCGGCCATCTTTAAATGCTCTCACCCATTTCCTTACCATTCCATCACTCATAATGTTTTGTCCGTAAACTTCACAGATCGCACGATGAATATCGATCGGTTTTACGCCTTTAGCACTAAGAAATCGTATGACAGCCCGTACTTCACAATCGGCGTGGCTCACGATTGTCGAAGGCATCTTAAACACTCAATAAACAACGTATACAATGAAGAATCAGACTGTACTGGCGTCTGTGCATAGACAAGAGATGCAGATAACCAGCGCGCATGCGCGGAACGCCGACCGTAGCGCTGCGGCGGCGGAATCGCAAAACGGTACTTACTTAAAAAACATGCCTCGTATTTCCAGTTTTTAAATAAAATATTCACAATTCAGTTTGTTCATCATATACAGTTTTTGTGTTTTAAATTCAATGAAATAAAAAATTATGTGTGCACTATGTGCGCAAATATTTGAAGCAGCCCTGTATATTGATAAATTAATTAGAAAACGTAGGTATAGGTTAATGATTTCTGAAAATTCGACTTTTCAAGTGGAGAAAGATACGTCAAAATATTTTTCGATACCGTTTGATAGAGAGTTATCCCGTGGACTAAAAGAAATTTTTAAGAATGTCAATTATAAACTTGTGTATAGTGCCAATAATAAATTACAACAATTATTAGGTAATCCAAAGGATAAAACACCTCCACTGGAAAGGTCGGGTATTTATGAAATTTCTTGTAAAGATTGTAATCAGAAATATGTTGGGCAAACTAGAAGATCAATATTAACTAGATTTAAAGAACATTTAGCTCAGATAAGATATGGTAGACCGGATAAATCTTGCGTTGCCGAACATATTGTTGATAAAGACCATTGTATAGATCTTAATAATTTAAAATGAATTAAACAAGTCTCAAATTACAGGCAATTAGATGCATATGAAAGCATCAGAATTAATAAATGTAAAGATAGTATGAACAGAGACAACGGTCCAATTCCTTCAAGTTCTTTGTTCCTACTACTCTAGTGGCGGAGATCTAACTGTTACGCTCAGTTGGCTCTGACTCGGTTGGCTAGTTTTTGCCACGCCCACTCGGTGCCCACTGGGCGAGTATATAAACGCTCAACTTGTAGATTGTACTTTAGTTTATAATCATCTGCTGATGATGCTAACGTGGTTAGCGAAACGCGCGTCCAGTGTAAAAGTAAAAGTGTTTTGGTGTATTGTGGTGATTTAGTGTTTTTATTTAAACTTATGTTACTTATAATTATAATTTATGAATAAGTTGATTTCGTCTGAACAAAATATTGACATAAATTATTGTTTTTGTATAGGAAAACAGGATATTTTTATTAAAGCGTAAATTATTCAATATGCTTATGTTCAAGGCTGAGTAAATTTAGATTTTGAGATTATTGGGTAAATGAGTTTGTACACATAGTTTGACTTTTTACGAAATTTTAGTTTCGGAGATATAGTATAAATCGGACCTTTTTTTATCTACATTCCAAGTTTCAACCCCCTAGCTCACGTAGGGTCAAGATCGTTACCACTTTTTTTCCCACGTCTCGTGTGTCACGACCTTGAATTTTTACTCCCCTTGGGCGTAAATAAGTCTCACTTCAAAAATAGTTTATTTTTAATATTTTTGTTTTTGCATTAAAAAATGTTTTTAGACACGAACGTGCGTATCATATCATAGAAAATTATGAAGAAGGTATTCTATAATTTAGATAACAAGAAACGTGTCTGATGTAATACAAAATTATGAAAAATTTCAAAATTATACAGGGCGGTCCAAACTGTATTCCGGAAACTTAAAAATAAGTAAAAAAAGTTCATATAAATGTATGTCCTAAAATTTCGGAGATACACGATGTAGAAATTTCATTTTTATTTCGATTTTTTTCAAATTATTTTTAAGCTAACGTTGATATTTGGATGAAAATTGATGTTTCGGAGTTTTTTAACACGAAAAATTTGATTTCGATGTCAATATGACGTTTACTTGCAGAGAGCGCCACCTACATATTTTTAACTGGTTTCAAGAGTAATAACTTTTCGTCCGTACCTGTGTAAAACTACTGAGTAAAAAAAATATACATTTACGACGTTTTTTTCCTAAATAAGGTCTCTTGATAAAAATCGCTACCGAGTAATGGTTCTTGAGATATTTGGAATCGACATTATCAATACCTGTCATCATTGACATAAATTAAACATGTTGAATAAATAGTTATTAGACTGAAATCATAAATTTGAAATTTTTTTATACCAAAAGTTAAACAGAAACTGTTTTTCATCATTATTTCAAAGAAAAATTTATGATTATATATTCCCATTCTAAATATCTTGAGAACGGTTGCTCGTAGCGATTTTTAACAAGAGACATTTTTTACGTAAAAACTCACGGAAATATACATTTTTTACTCAGTAGTTTTATACCGGTAAGGACACAAAGTTATTACTCTTCAAAACAGTTAAAAAAATGTAGGTGGCGCCTCCTACAAAAAGGAGTCATATTGACATCAAAATCAAACTACTCATGTCAAAAAACTCCTAGACACCAATTTTCATCCAAAAATTGACGTTACTTCAGAAATTATTTGGAAAAAATCGAAATAAAAATGAAACTCCTACACCCTGTATCTCCGAAACTAAGCATTTTAGGACATACATTTATACGAACTTTTTTACTTATTTTTATCTGCAGAATATGCTGTCATAGTTTCCGGAATACTGTTCGGACCACCCTGTATAGTATCAACTTCTACGTAAAGCATAAGCCATGGTACAAAGAATACAAGGTATGATATTGCGCAGGTTGGTCGCTACGTCACAGGTGATAACAGGCGCTATTGGTCAGCACGCTCCGCGCGCTAGTTCAAATCGTCAAGATATTGTTATAAACCTGTTTTTTTTGTTTATATACCGTCATTGAATTATCGCTAAGCAAGTTACTGTGGAGCAGTGCATAAGGAGTCGGGCTAGGAAGCGAGAGACCGGAGTTCGAATCTCGGCCGGAACATCACTTTTTATTTATTTTTTTAAATACTGTTGTATTCTATAGTTTATTTTTGTAGTATAAAAAAAGAATATTTATTCTGTTGTTTTTTAATCTCCGTTATTAATATAAATTGATTGTTAGTACAATACCTCATTTAATATAAAATAATATTCTACTTTTTGAAATGTATCGGGCCCTAATTGTACCTAAAAGTAATATATTTTTAGTGATATACCATATTGTAAACTATTTAATATTTCAGTCAGTTAAAAAGTTAATTTGCATTGAATAATTGCCTACCATTAAAGGAAATTTGAGCTATATAACCCTTGATGGGCATATTCTGGGTATGCAAATACTTCCTTTAAATTTTGGGTGTCGTTCAACCGATTTATTCTCAAAACCAGAAACATCTACATATAAAAAGAAGCACAGGTCACTAATTATAATAAACTTCACCCTTGGTATTACTTCCACTAATTATAATAAACTTCACCCTTGGAATTACTTCTATCACAATTACAATACGTTCATCTGCATTGGCATTTTCTACTTTTCGATGGGAAACAATAAACTTCCCAACATTTTTTAAATAATGTAACAATTCCTCTTGTGGTTACTTTTCCATAGATATCCTCATCTCTGTCCTCATGTGAATTCAGAGGCAATAAAAATGAAAATTATTTACCATAAACATCGCAAACTAAAAACCTAATAAACAATTTCATACCGAATATAGAAATAAATTTAGTATTTTTACCTATTATCGTCCAAATCCATGTTAATAGAGAATTATTATTTTTAAATATATTTTTGGAACTGCTGGTTTTAGTAATTATTAAATTAAACGAACTAAAATGTCTTAAAAATAAACAATTCTTAACCATAACCTCAAAAATGCAGATCTCCTGTCAACTTTCTGTATTTTTTATTTATTCATTATTTTCCTAGTGACGTCACAGGTGGTATGCGCGAACTGAACAAAATTGGAGCCGCTATCGATCATACCTTGTATTCTTTGTACCATGAGCATAAGCAACTTTTCGCAAATATTACTTAGTAAAAAAACTACGTGCAAATATTAGTTAGAAATTATGATTTAAAGCAATTTTACTCACCAGCAATTATAATTTATATTTGTTAAACAAACTCTTGCTTGAATTTTTTTAATAATAACAAGCGGACAGCAATATTGTGTCCGGTAATATTACTTTGTTAAAAGTACAAGGTTAATAATGTAATGTAAGACCGGCTTGCACTTCCGAAATCGATATCTGTACGTGAACAATAATTAGAGCTTAGCAGGCATGCCTCATCGGGTTACATTGTGCAGATTTAATCTCACGAAATTGGCTTTGTATCCCTTGTTATTAAATCGTGTCTAAGCTCATCAAATATTTGTTACTATTAACTCTGTAGCTTTATTCAGAACCTCGCAATTAGTTGAATGAATTAGTGGTTTCAATTACACTTTATATTTATTTTTTTAAGCTTCATTCAGAATCTCGAAATCAGTGGAATAAATTAGTAGTTTCAATCAGCCGTAGAAGTTTGTTCACCTAATTTTAATGTAATCATTCAAAACGTCATAATTAGTGGTAGTACTTTTCAATTATTGGAAAAAGTTAACAAACTTTTGACTTTTCCACTAATTATAGTTCAAAATTTGCAAGGAATGTCATTAAATACATAAGATACATAATCATCGACGAGGATGACATACAAAAAGCACTAAAAGCCATGAAAAATAAAAAAGCGTCAGGACCAGAAGGATTACCAGCAGAATTATTAAAAAACGGATCATATAAATTAATACTGCATTTGAAAGAACTAATGACAAGATATATAAACGGTGATACAATACCACTAACTTGGAAAGAAGCGTGGATAACACCAATCCACAAAAAGGGAAAAAGAGAAAAAATGTTCCAGTTATACAGGGTTGTTCACCACATACGACACGGAGTATTGTAGCTAAACGATGAGATTTTTACAAATTATAAGTTTTGGGTTCGATGAAGGACTATTAGAGGTACAATTTAAAAATAATTTTACAAGATACAGAGTGTTCCAAATAAGTAAAAAATATCAAAGTTGTATTTTTTTAAATGGAACACCCTGTATATTATTACATTTTTAGTTTCTACGATTAAAATAAAGGTAAATTTGATTAAGGTTTATTATGCTTAAACCTTACCGTTTTTGAAATATTTTCAATTTTGTGAAATTGCAGTAAAAATTTTAAGGCTTTATTTCTCCAAGGGTATCAAAGTTTTTAATACTAAATATTTACTGAAGTTTATTTACTGATCAGTTATTGTGTTGCAATAATAAAAATAATACTACCTTATACAGAGTGTCTAAAAATTTATTTTAAATAATTATTAGCTTCAAACGGCAATAACTTGTTTAATTTAAATGGAACATCCTGTATATTTTACGAGAATCAGATGCACAATTTAATTGTCTATCAAATTATATTATACCATTTTTTACCTATCTCTTTAAGTTTCCATAGAAAATGCATTTTCTTGTAATTTAGAACTTATTTATCAATATGCCCATGGACTATTGACATTTTAGATTATTTTTAAAGATGTACCAAATTTTTAAAGAGTACAGATACTAATATTGTCGATATAATTCGTTTATTTCATTAAAAAATAAAAAAAAACTGTTTAAATATTTGTTAAAGAGGACCAACTAATATGATTCCAGTATTCAAACTATATTAACTGACTGTTTGCGTTGATTAATAATAATTGCTCCAAATACTAAAAAACTGAATTTTGTATTGGCAGTGTGATAAAAAGTAACACCTTAAAGATGATATTTCATTTTTTAATAAATGCTTATTTATAACAACAAAGACTTTAATTTGATAACTTATTATTATATTGATTTCTGACTCAAAAATCCACATTTATTTATAATAATTTATTAACGAACACAATTAAGTATGTCATTAATTAGTATATGGGCGGAAATAATGGTGTTATATTTAATAAATGGTATACTCTTTTATAAAGATTTAAATAGTTTTCTTTTTGCATACAAATGGGCTAGTAATATTATCGTTTTGCTAAAAACGATAATATTACTAGTCTGTACATTTTGTACATTTGTTGCTTTAAAAACAATCTAAAATGTCAGTATTCCATGGATATATTGATAAATGAGGTCTAAATTATAAGAAAAATGCATTTTCTACGAAAACTTGAAGGGATAGGTAAAAATGGTATAATACAATTTGATAGACAATTTAATTGTGCATCTGATTCTCCTAAAATATACAGGGCATTCCATTTAAATTAAAGAAGTTATTGCCATTTGAAGCTAATAATTATTTAAAATAAATTTTAGACACTCTGTATAAGGTAGTATTATTTTTATTATTGCAACACAATAACTGATCAATAAATAAACTTCATTAAATATTTAGTATTAAAAACATTGATACCCTTGGAGAAATGAAGCTTTAAAATTTTTACTGCAATTTCACAAAATTGAAAATATTTCAAAAACGGTAAGGTTTAAGTATAATAAACCTTAATCAAATTTACCTTTCTTTTAATCGTAGAAACTAAAAATGTAATAATATATAGGGTGTTCCATTTAAAAAAATACAACTTTGATATTTTTTATTTATTTGGGACACTCTGTATCTTGTAAAAATATTTTTAAATTGTAGCTCTAATAGTCCTTCAACGAACCCCAAACTTACAATTTGTAAAAATCTCATCGTTTAGCTACAATACTCCGTGTCGTATGTGGTGAACAACCCTGTATATAAATTAAATAAATAAATAAATAAATAAATAAATGCCTTTATTGTTAAAAAAATTTACAATTTGTAGACAAAGGTAAAGTAAACAAACAAACAAACAAACAAAAAAAATACAAAACATTATACAAATAACATTGTCAGTCAAAACATTTATAAATGTTTACAATGTCAAAGAATAAAAACAATAAAAATAATATACAAAAGTTTTTAGTTAGTTTATAGTAAATATCAAACCTCTCGGTAAATTATTTATCATTAATTCCAGATGGCCGAAATTCAATTGGGACCATAACCCCGATTATAGACAAAAACGATCAGTTCATTGTGTCATCTGACAGGTGTATTTATCACCTGTTATGGGACGGCAAGGAATCCAATACGGGGACTATCAAGGAATTGTTTAGCATAGAAGAAGATAAGCCGGATAATCAGTTCAACGATGGCAAAGCCGATGCAAACGGCGTACTTTGGATAGGTAATTATTTAAATATAATTAGAGATTTTTTTTTAAACATTGTGAATGATCGTAAACTAATAGACGATAAAATGGTATTTTATCGTGGACCGAAAAGATTAATTCACGAGCGATGAAATCGCGAGTGATTTAATTTCGGGAGACGATAATGCAATTTTATCGTCGTGTATAAAACAATATTTTTTCAATAGCGAGTTAAGGTTTTAAAAAATATTTAGAAATTATTATTTCAAGGAATTTATTACGAGTAGAAAAAATATTGTGCTGGGTTGGCGTTGGTTTCTATGTAATTTGACAAATAAATAAAGCTCTCTCTTTAGTTGTCAGTTTTGAGCCAATATTTTTAATTCTCTTTCATGTCGATTGCTGATTGAATTGGAGTCTGAAATTGCTCAAAACCAAATAAGTAAATTACCAACAGATATTCAGACTGGGGCGACAAACGCCATAACAAAACTACTTGCATTTAAATCCCGAATAACTTATGAAAAGGAATACAAAAATTTTCAAAAATGGAAGCAATTACAAAACGTGCGAGAAGAAATAAAAATTTTTAGTATTCTCGCTGTTAAAGTATCATTAAATCTACTATTTTTGATAGATGGCAATTTTAACAGTTGCTATTGTTGCGGACCGGTGTGGACTCGACCTAACCTAACTATATGGCCCGCCCTCGGATGATCTTAACCATAAAATAATTAACTAGAAAGAAGTGTCAACTCTGTGTTAAATCGTGGAAACACGATACGCCACCGAAAGCCTTCGTTGTCGTCTGGAGAACTAATTTTCCAATTGACAGGTTGACATGATAAGGACATGATGGCTTAATTTTCATTTCCGTTTCCGGTTATTCAATGGCGGGCCCTCTTTCAGTTCAAATGTATTTTGTATTTTTTCTTTTCATAAATAAAACCAAAAATAATTTATTCACATATAGTTATTTGAAATATGGAACAACGTGACTAAATAAATATAAAAATATAGAGGATTGTATTGTTTCAATACCAATTAGTTAATTATATGTACTTTTAACGTAAATTAGTTAAGGTATAAGCATGACTTACAGTAATTTGTAAATAAACACACGTATTCGCAGACTTCAAGGACAGAAAACGGACACAGGGACATGAAAACAGGAGCCTTATACAAAAACCTGGGTATACCAAAACCTGAAAACAGAAAAACAAATTTTTTTATACTAAAATTAACAATGTAAAAATATCAATATTAAATTTATTTAATATTGATATATTAGGTATAAAATATAAATATACTGTTTAAAAAAGCGTCCATTATTCCCAAAGAGACCTGGCTTATAAATCAAAAAGAAGCAAAAAGAGACTTTTAGTCGGATAACATAATCATATTATCAGTCCGATTTATTGCATTATTGACAATAAATCGCACATACTGGAGATAACTAATGTTGGCTATAGTTAAAAATGATCTTACCTTGCTGTAAATTGTTTCCATTTCCAAAAAAAATCGCCGATCAAAGAGATTATAACACCATTTTCTTGCATCTAAAAAATGTAAAAACTGTTTATTTACTACCTATTTTTCATATACATGGGACATACCTATTACTGCAGAAACGTCATTTTCTCCAGGATTCTTCATATAATATATATTTTATATACTTTATTACCTTTATAATTATAAATTTCAGCCGAAATATTAAATTGAACTTCCAAAACGAAACTAAACGGAATGAATTAAAATGGCGTCGAATATTTTCGAATTTGTTCTAGAACAAATCTGAAGTTGTCTCTGAAACTGAAATCTGTCAATTCTAAACTGTGAAGTTAGACAATAGTTAGACAAAAACAATGCTGTCCTTGTCTAAGCGGCCATACTTGTCGTGAGGAGAATGACAGGAATGACACTAATGACTGTTTCCAATTTTCCTATTTCACTGTCACCCCCCTGATCTTAACATCGCATTAAAGAGTAGACACCGTAATAATTCATTCGAAGATTCGAGAAGAATCGAGTTCCACTAGAATGGAGTAGTACATACGAGAACAATCGAAACCTTCTCTATGCATCTAACGATCTATGGACTATTCTAGAGATCTTTAGCTGTCGGTATAAAAGCCGGCGACTGTGGCCTACAGAGGGCAGTTATATATAGACGAGTGCAGTTGACGCGCTAAAATTCAAAATAAGTTCTTAGTTATAAATCGTTTGTAAATAGTTCTTTAAGTCTTTTATCGTTATTGTTTTTGTTAATTATTGTTAAATAAATAGCGTTTAAATAAATTGTGACTTTCTATCCACACGGAACCGACGAAAAACGTAACAATTGGTGTCAAGTGTGGCGTGTGTGATAGACAAGAATAATAAAAAGACTGACCATGGCTCTGAAAAAGTTGTTGAAAGACTTGAAAGTGTCCGAACTGAAATGCATATTGGAAGAGAGAGAGTGCGAGACAGATGGAAAAAAAAGCGTTTTGCAAGCTAGACTGAGAGGCGTTTTGGTGGAGGAAGGTGAGGATTCTGACACATTTTACTTCGAGCTGGAAGGTGACCTTGACTCGTCATTTAAAAATTTAAACGACAATTTGCATAGTTTGAATAATAAAATTATGGAAAATTGCAGCATCGTTATGGGACGGGAAGTGCGCCTACCTTGTGATCTGAAGTTTGGTTGCCGACCGGGAGAAGATGTCGCCGGAGAAGATTATGTCCATAGACTACGCCAAAGGATGGACGACACCCATCAGCGAGTCCGCCTAAATATTCAAAACGCTAGTGACTGAATGAAGGAGCACTACGACATTTAAGCTGAGCATGGAGGATACCAACCAGGGAAGTTGGTGTGGCTATACAATCCGCAGAGACGTCGTGGATTATCTCCGAAGCTACAATCCTCGTGGGAAGGGCCATACGAAGTCATGGATAGAATTAATGACGTCGTATACCGTATTAGAAAATTGCCAAAAGGAAAACCGAGAATAGACCATTTCAATCGTTTGAGCCCCTACCAAGGCGAAATAGAAGATCGTGCTGGGACCGTGAGAACCTGCAGCTTTGGTCCCCCTGATTCGGAGATGTCCTTTGACAACTTCATGGCCCGATACAACAGCCGTGAGAAGGCTCGCTATGGTGTGACCCAAGAAGAACAACGAACCTCTTTTCCGTGCCTCCTGATTATTCGCTCGCTCACTGTGTGGCCCGAGATTTGCGAATGTCCAGAGGAATTGCTGCGACGTTCAATGAGAAGTTTGGGCGAGTCGGAGAACTACGCCGACAGGATCCAGAGGTTGGAAGCATCTTGAGGCTAACCGACAATGAACATGGTCAAGCAAGGCACATTTTCTACCTAGTCACCAAGGAATGGTCCCCAAGTTTATTATTTATTTATTTATCGTATGGCAAGCACATCGTTTAACAGATATTACAAAATAATACACGTAAAAATATAAACAATACAAAAAGATATAAAATATATAAATATAAAAGGAACACGGTATATCACAAACAAAATACGCGCAACAGGAGACAAATACAGTGAGATTAAATACAAACGTCAAGATTACGTATATAGTCTATTGCAGCGTCATCAGCAGTCAGGAAATCGGAGTAGTTTCCACCGTAAGCTCTTATCTCGCACTCCTCCACTATGTGGCGTACGGTTTGTCTGTCGGCTCCACAGTCGCATCTGGGTGATGGTATCTTACCCCATCTGTGAAGAGAGTCTGCGCATCTTCCGTGGTTCGTGCGTATTCTGTTGAGGGATGACCATGTTTTGCGAGGCAGCTGGTACCCAGGCGGTTTTTTGGTGATGCAGGGGAGGGCTTGACAGTGCTCAGGACATGTCTCTCGCCATTGTTCTTTCCAGGACTCTACTAGACTAAAGCCCATGTTATGTAATTCCTTGGCTGTTTTCATTGTTGGGTGTCTGGATCGAAGCCTATCCATCTCCAAGTCAGGTATGTCACGATGTATAGGGAGCTGGGGGTTGTTGTTTGCCTTCCTGTACTCCCGGAGGAGAGCATTGTTCCGACGCAGATGCGCAGGTGGAATATGACTCAGGATAGGCAGAAAATGTGTTGGGGTTGTTCTTATAGTCCCGCTGACAATTCGCATCGTGTTATTCAGCTGCACGTCGACTTTCTTCGTATGAGCGCTATTCATCCAGACCGGGGCGCAGTATTCTGCTGTTGAGTATACCAGTCCAAGAGCTGATGTATGGAGCGTGTCAGCCGAGGATCCCCAGGTAGTACCACACAACTTGTGAAGGATATTATTCCTCGTCTTTAATTTGGCTGCAGTGTTTTCCAGATGCCGCTTATAGGTGAGCGTTCTGTCCAATGTGACTCCAAGATACTTTGGATACTCGTTATGTTGGAGACGATTTCCTTCGAAACGGACGTCAAGTCGTCTGCCTGCCGATTTATTACAGAGATGGAAGCATGTCGCTTCGGTTTTTGTAGGGTTTGGTTGCAGTCTCCATTTACGGAAATATGTACTTAAGGTCACCAAGTCAGACGACAAAGTTGCCTCCATTACCTCAAAGTTCTTATGCTGCGTCGCCAAGACCCAATCGTCTGCATATCCAAACTTCCTGGAGGATGTGTGAGGCATATCAGCGATATACAAGCTGAACAGCAATGGGGCCAGGACGGAGCCCTGTGGTAAACCGTTATTTAGGATCCTTTGGGCACTTGTTTGTTCTCCCATTACCACCCGGAATGTTCTGTCAGCGAGCATGTTATCTATAAGTCGGAGAGTTCTCAAACAAGGGATTGTTTGGCCGAGTTTGTATAGTAAGCCATGTCTCCAGACAGTGTCGTAGGCTGCAGACAAATCTATAAAAATAGCTGCAGTTTTAAATTTTCTTTGATAGCCAGCTTCTATGTATGTTGTTAGTGCCATAACCTGATCTGTGCAGCTGCGCGCAGGGCGGAACCCGGCCTGTTCTATGGGAACTGTCTCCATTATTTTGGTGGCGATGCGGTTATACAGAAGTCTTTCTAAGAGCTTATAGATTGAGC